AGATAAAATGACTACTTTTCTCAGCATTAGATTATTTCGAGACGACGACAACAACAACAAAAGGTGCCAATCTATAAAAGTTTTTTAAACGTACTGCAATTTTAACTATTAAAGATTGTCAAATAATATATTATCCATATGTATAATAAATCACCTGGATTTTTATTTGGGAATTTTCATAAAGTAACTTAAAAAAAATCATTAAGATAATAAGAAAAGCTGAGTTTGGTAGAAACAGCACCTCAGCCCCGTGGATACTTCTACCTCTGCAGTCATTCTGGACTTTATTAATAAAGTAAGTTTCCAACCTCAAAAACAGAGCTTTAGAAAGCATTATGAAAACTCTTCCTGAGACCATTAATGTGTCAGTAAAACCACTTGACAGTGTTTTTCAGTAGTAAATCTTTGGAGTCATAATCCCATGAATGAGCACTTTATTAAAGACCTCAAGTGCTTTACTGCCCATATTTTTTTAATAATTTGTATCATTTTGGCAGGAACTTGATCCCAAAGTGAATGTGTTTCACAAGTCTGAACAACATTGCATCATCAGTCATTTACAAGTAAAGACACATATAAAAGAGGAATAAGTTTTGTATTTTTAATGTGCTTTTGCAATACACTGTCATTTCCTACTGCTCATCTCCAGAAACGCACTTTTATAGACAAACTCATTCTTCATAATTTTCAAGGCTTGATAATTTGATAACTACTATCTATGATCAAATTAAAATCATTCATTCACTGAGGAAATTTGCATAGCTACTTATTTTTATTGTTCCACTGACAAATAGTATTTGGCACCAGACTTGTATGGAGGAAGTAGCTGTGAATATACATGTAAAGGGGATTACTGATAAAAGCACAACAACATAATGACCAGGGTTCAAGTCACTTTGCCAGTTAATAGCTGTGCATACTTGAGCAAAGTACCTAACCTCTCTGAGCACTTAGCAAAATGACTATGTTAATGGCAAGTGATTAATAAATGGTGACTATTATACTAATGATTGCTGATAGTACTAACATAAAAAGTCTGAGAGTCTTAAACTTCACTAAGAAGGTTTACTTATAGGTGGAATATTGAAAGTGTAATTTTGAAATAATTTTATGTATATTGTAAGACAAATCAAATGAGTAAATATTATTGTTAATATCCAAAAGATACTAATATAAAGTTAAAAGATATTAATTTATTAATAAATTAATTAATTTTAAATTTTTATTTTTAAAATTAATTAATTTTAATTAAAAGTAATATTCTAATTAACTCTAGAATATTACTTTTAATTAAAAATACCAGTATTAATTTATTACTAAGAAAAGTATTTCTAGCTCTGTCCACTGAAAGCAATGACACCCCAATAGCAATGAGCACACCTAAAGTCTGAATCTTGGTTTCTAAGCACCATTCCCCAGTAAAAGGAGCCAAAGCTCCATAGAGAATAGGCTGCTTTTAGTTCTGTGGTCTGAAAATTGTAAGTGAGACTAAGATATCATCTTCTGTCAAAAGGCAAGGAAGCATTGAAAGACTAAAGGAGTCAGGTTATAAGGTCACAGAGATCATCTTGTAGGGACTCGTCCTGGCCAAACATGGAGGATTGGAAAGCCAGAAGGAGAATAATTGATTATAATATAGTAAGTGTCAATAAATAAAAATCCATGTGTCCATAGAATTGAAAATAAAAGGTAAGAAAACAAAAAGCTTTTCTTTACGTAAGAATGTCAACTAATAAGTAGAAGGAAGGATGAAATTAGAATATTACCACTTTGCCACCCCTGATGTAAGTTAATCCAGAAAAGAATCGATGGATGATAACATCACTAGGTCAACTTGATGCAGAACAGAAATAACCTGCCAATGGTCACCCCACAGATATCTTACTTAACTGAAGGAAAAAAAATGTACCTTTACACTAAAGATCTGGGCAATCAAACTTAGTTTCAGCAACAATAGAAAAATCTAACACTATCTGCTTCTAATGCAATGCAATATGAAGTATACAACTTTAGCTTTGAAATATTCTTGCCAGAAAGGTTTAACCTGGGGACTTCCCTGGTGGCACAGTGGTTAAGAATCCGCCTACCAATGCAGGGGACACAGGTTCAATCCCTGGTCCGGGAAGATCCCCCATGCCACAGAGCAACTAAGCCCGTGCGCCACAACTACTGAGCCTGCGCTCTAGAGCCCACGAGCCACAACTACTGAAGACCGCGTGCCTAGAGCCTGTGCTCTGCAACAAGAGAAGCCACCGCGATGAGAAGCCCACTCACCACAACAAAGAGTAGCCCCCACTCGCCGCAGCTAGAAAAAGCCCATGTGCAGCAATGAAGGCCCAACACAGCCAAAAATAAATTAATTAATTAATTAATTATTTTTAGAAAAGGTTTAACCTGAAACCAATACAGCCCCTAGATCCAACTTTAAGTGTATAGGGCATAGATGAGCAAGTTAAATAACATCTTGAAGAAACAATCAGACCACTGCTCTGTACTCTGTATAAGTCAATGATATTTTTTGAAAAACTATAAAAGGCTAAACATAACAAATAAATGCAATGAATGAACCTAGGCTGAGCCCCAATTTGGGGAAGAAAACAGCTATAAAAGACATTCTTGTAGAAAATGATGAAATTTGAATGTCAATATTAGATGGTTATTAATTAGCTATTGCTGTGTAACAAATTAGCCCAAACTTAGTGGCTTAACACAACAAACATTTATTATCTCACAGCACTATGGGCCAGAAATCTGGGACTGACTTAGCTGGGTGTTTCTGACTCAAGGTCTCTCAGAAGGTTCTAGTCAAGCTGTTGACCAGGGCTACTGTCACCTCAAGATCATCTGAAGGAGGAATTCACTTCCAAGCTCACTCACATGGTAGCTGATAGGCCTCGGTTCCTGGGCACCTGGGCCAGGCAACTGGCTACCTGAGGGCCCCACCACATGACAGCTGGTGTTCCTCAAAAGCAACGATGCAAGGGAATTCAAGAGAGTGTATCTAAAACAAAAGCCACAGTGTTTTCATAACGCAGTCTCATAAGTGAGATCCCACCACTTCTGACGTATTCCACTCACTGGAAGTGAGTCAATTCATCCAGCCCACAAGGGGAGGGGGATTAAATTCCACCTCTTAAGAAGTACAAAAAACGTGTGGGTCTGATAACCTCCAAGGATGATATTGTGGCATTATTGTTGACTTGTAGATGTGATAATGGTATTGTGATTATGTACGGTAATGTCCTTATTCTTAGAATATATATGCTGCTGTAGTCAGAAACAATACATATGATGTCTAAACCTATTTTGTGTGTGTGTGTGTGTACGTGTGTGTGTGTGTGTGTGTACAAAGTAATAAAGCAAATACAGCAAAATGCTAACAACTGTTGCCTTTGGGTGGGTAATAAATGGATGTTCATTGTATTCCTGTCTATACATGTTTGAAAATTTCTGTAAGAAAAATTTGGAGAAAAATAATTGAGTTATTTGAATTGTGTCCGCTCAAAATTCATATGTTGAAGCCCTAGCATCCAACGTGATGGTGTATGGAGATGGGACCACTGAGAGGTAATTGCATTTAGATGAGGTCACTAAATGTCCAGAACTACGAGAAATAAATGTCTGTTTTTTAAGCCACCCAGTGTATGGCATTTTATTATAATAGCCGAAGCAGACTAAGACAAGGTGCTCAAATGATTGAAGTGACTTGATAACAGTGATAAAATTTTTACTCATTTCACAAAGTTAATGTGACAGAAGAAGAAATCCAGTGGTAAGAAGGGCTTTTGATACAGAGAACTGGGGGGAAATAGAAATTATTATCATTACTGTGGATCACTTTCATATTCCAACTTCTCATATTACCTCAGCTTGGCAGTGAAGTCACTGTAGACCTGGAAGACCTAAGAGATGATCCCACAAAGATGGCTCCTTCTACTGCATCCTGCCAACTCCAGACCCCCCGTCACAGCCTGTGGGACACCACTGAACCTTCACCCTTCATGGAGCCTCTCTTTTTCAGCATTAGTCATTCCTTAATTTTAAACTCCATCTCCTTTACTCTTCAACTTTCTCCTACGTATTTTATTAACTGATTGCACTAGCTCACTTTTGCTTTTGGAAATTAATTGTTATTATTAATCCCATAATTAGTTTCCTTGACACAAAATTTTTTAAATATAATTAAAGGATTATATAGTGTTAATACCGTATTAATTCCCATGCTCAAACAGGCTCCAGCTAATTTAAAAGGTAAAGCAATTCATTGGATAAATAAAAGTTTGGAATTAAGAGTCACTTCCCTTTGGCAATATCTCTCAAAATTACAAACCCCATATCCTTTGACCCAGCAAGTCTACTTCTAGGATTTTTGTCTTGCTGATATAGTCTCACATATGAGAACTGACAGATTATTCATAGCAGCCTTGTGTATAATAGTGTGTAGTGTCTTACCAATTTTTAAAAAAGTAAATAAAAAGAAAAACATAGAGGTGCAGAGTATGTTGCCATTTGTGTTAAAAATAAATAAAAATAAACATATGCATATATATAGGTAGAATATTTCTAGAAAGGTATATAAGCAATTGTTAACAGGTTGCCTCTAGAGAGACCAGCTCGGTGGCTGGGGGGAAGGGATTGGGGGATAACTTCTCATCACATTCCCCTGTGTCCATTTAGAATTTTGTATCTTGTGAATGCATTACCTATTTGTTCAAAAATTAATTTAAATTTTTTGTAATCCTTACAGTTTAACCAAATAAGACGTATTAGCTACAAACTTTTTCCTTTTAAGTGTTCTGTATTTCTTTTTTTCTAATTAGAAAAAAACTGTATCCCATGGCCAGATCAGGTCACTGACTCCCATGGTGCCCCAGACCTCCTGCTGAGAGGAGCCTTTGAAACTGCAGTCAGTAACACTAGTGTGCTCATCCACATCTGCTTCTCAATTTCTGCTTCATAAACATGATCACAGATGCACACACACGCTCCACGTAATGTACCTGGTTCAGCTTCTCTTTCTCTTCCACGCAGGAGGCAGCTTCTTTCTGCTCTCTGTTTACTTCTGAAGCAGCCTCATGATTGTTTCTCTGCTAGCTTTTGCCTCCATCTCATGGACATTTTTAGTCTCTTCAAGAGTAACGATTTGTCCTTTCACGAATGCGTTTTCCTTGCACAGCTCTCCAAGCTGAAGAGAAAGCAATTACAGCTGTCCTGTAAAAACTAGTAATTTCATACCACTCTAAGCAATTCTGATCTATAAACCCCAATGATCTCATTATCACATGACAACAGGGAAAGAGCTATCCCTCCATCCACTCAAAAGATAACTTTTTCAAAGGCAGCCCCTAAATGCTCTTGTTATGTGCAGACCCAGTGGTCAAATTAAAATTAATCAAAAGGTAAATCAAAAGGTAAATTAATCACAAGGCAACAAGGATGAGAGTTCAGCCAAAAGCTTCCAGACAGAACAAGCATCAACGAGCCCCTGGCTGCGAAATACTCAAGGGCCGGTGATGTGCCTACAGTTACGGCAGGCAAGGAAGCAAGGCGTTCTATTCAGCCCACATCCACTGGCACCAACTGCCTGCAAGGCGTTACCTGGCACAGGGTGCGGACATACACAGGGTGCAGACATACAAAAAAAGCAGGACTCTCTTTTTCAAACAGAAAATCCTTCTTTTTAATATAAGCATAGAAAAATCCTGAATAACATGCTCAAACAATGTATTCGAGTGGTTGGCTGGGAGAATAAGACTTGTATGATTTATAAGGAGGGAAAATAAAACCAACCAGCCTCCTTGGCCCCAGGGAAACAGTCACGCAGACAGCTCAAGGATGCCTGTCGAAAGGCCCGAAACTCCTCGTGACAGGGTCAGCATTTGTGTTAGGACAATCGGGGAAGTGACATATCTTTTAGCCTCAGCAATTTGCCAGCATGGTGCCCTGCTCCTGACTCAGTGCTATTCCCTCTCTCGTGAACACTTTTCCTCATATTTGTATACTTCCTCTCCAACATCCTTTTCAAGGTCCCCATCTCAGAGGGGCACTCCTCGGCCGGTCTACCTAAAGTAGCATCCCATGCCTCTAACCTGCTTCACTCTCTTTCCCCATATCCTGATTTGTTTTTCTTCTTTGCACCTTTTACTACATGGGATAATACTGGATATTTGTTTATTTCCTCAGCATCTTTAACCACAACAATGGAAGCTCTAGGAGGGCACAGACTCAGTCTTGTCTCATTCACTGCTGTATCCCAGCACCCAGAACAGTGTCTAGCATACTGTAATCACTCACTAAACGTATGGGAAATGGATGAATGAATGCCAAATAAGGAATCCCTTCTTTGCTACTGTTTCCTTAGAGTGTGTGTGTACATGTGGTTATAAGGGCCTTAAAAGTAAGGGAATGGCTTTGAAATTGCAGTGGTTTTGTTCACCTTCTCAGGGTAACACCTAGTGAGTGTTCAAGACAGTAGCCTTTTTTCTCTTGGCCAGGGAGATTGTTGGTTTTTTTTTTTTTTTAAGGCAGGGACCTCCTCAGGTGATTGGGATGTTAAAACTCTAGGGTCTCAGGATCTGTTTAAAAATATAGGTTATATTATCATTCAGGTATGGTGAGGCCAACGGATCAGGAGACATTGAAACTGTGTTACTCACAGTTTCTGAGAGGAAGGGGCACACCATGCCATGCAGGGCCGCCCAGGGAGCACCAGGGCTGGTCAGGAGACAGAGAGAGCCAGGGGAAAACATGTTTTCCACAGGAAGGAATGGGTGAGGCAGGGTAAGCAAGCTAGTTTGAGTAATGTCAGCGGGTTCTGGAGTGTAGGAGCCATCTCTAGTTGTCTGCCACCTGACCCTGGGGTGATCAGTTGGATAGTGGCCAGAGCATAAAAGCCTGATAGAGGAAGTGGCTGGGGTGTGGGCTGTGTATTTGTTGGTTTGCTTATGAAAGCTGTGCACCCAGGAGAGTCATTTACTAGGAATTGGCTAATCCTGGGACCCAGTCTTTCCTGGGTCAGCAAGGCCCCAGATGTCAAAGCATTCGAAGTACAGAATATAAAAAGGCAAGATTAGTACAGTATTAACACCCAGATTAGCACCTGGAGATTGTCTCTGATGAGGGAAAGGGTACCTGAAAGAAGGAGCTTCTTAATTTCCTTTTCTTTTCCCCACCACTTGGCTTTAAAGATAACCCCCCAAACTACAGTGTGAAGTGGACTTTTATCGCCAGGCTCCTGGTCACATGTTATGGGGGGAGCTGAATCCAGCACCTTGAGGGTATCAGACAGAGCCCAGGCCTGAGCAACCAAAACCCATGAGTGAGGTGGAACTTCCTGAAGCAAAGTGTTCCATTTCGCAGCTCTCACAGAGTTCACGTGGGAGGCTTACTAATAACCCACTGAGGGGAGGCCTTTAAGAACAGCTGCATCGGGCTTCCCTGGTGGCGCAGTGGTTGAGAATCTGCCTGCCAATGCAGGGGACACGGGTTCGAGCCCTGGTCTGGGAAGATCTCACATGCCACGGAGCAACTAGGCCCGTGAGCCACAACTACTGAGCCTGCGCGTCTGGAGCCTGTGCTCCACAACAAGAGAGGCCGCGATAGTGAGACCCGCGCACCGCGATGAAGAGTGGCCCCCGCTTGCCACAACTAGAGAAAGCCCTCGCACAGAAACGAAGACGCAACACAGCCAAAAATAAATTAATTAATTAATTAAAAAAAAATACGGGAGTCCATGTATTTAAAAAAGAATGGCTGCATTCCCAGTGGTCACTGCAGTGCTGTTTACAATAGCCAAGACATGGAAGCAACCTAAATGTCCATCAACAGATGAATGGATAAAGAAGATGCGGTATATATATACACAATGGAATAATACTCAGCCATAGAAAAGAATGAAATAATGTCATTTGCAGCAACATGGATGGACTTAGAGATTATGATACTAAGTGACGTAAGCCAGACAGAGAAAGAAAAATATCATATGCTATCGCTTATATGTGGAATCTAAACAAAAATTATCCAAATGAACTTATGTACAAAATAGAAATAGACCCACAGACATAGAGAACAAACTTATGGTAACCAAAGGGGGAAGGGGGGGAGGGATAACTTAGGAGTCTGAGCCTAACACATACACACTACTATATATAAAATAGACAACCAACAAGAACCTACTTCATAGCACAGGGAACTATACTCAATCATTTATAATAACTTATAAGGGAAAAGAATCTGAAAAAGACCATCTATATATAATACATGTATATATATAACTGAATCATATGTACGTGAATCTCTTTGCTGTACACCTGAAACTAACACAACAGTGTAAATCAACGAGACTTCCATTTAAATAAATAAATAAATATTTTTTTAGAAAAAGAATGGCTGCATGGAAATCTATCAGGAAGCAAGGATATGAAAGGTTTATAAATGAGCGAAGATATGGTGTCCATTCAAACAGCTTCACGCTCTCTAATGAATCACTACAGTCCAGGTAGTGATATAATTAATTTCCATCTCCATGGCAACCTACCATTAAAGTAGGATTTTTATTTATTTGGCTTTAGTGTAAAATCAAAAAGTACTTTAGAGATAATCTTAACCTTATGCTCAAAAAGTATCCCCAAAATGACACACAGCTGGTTTTGGTTTCGGTTGTGAGTGTGTATGTGTTTCTATCTGTAACTAAAACAAACAAAAATCTTCCTAAAACAAATCATTAAAATGAATAATTCGTTGTATTTGACAACCTAAATACATTTTAGACAAAACAATCAATTCCTTCTGGAGAATAATTAATCTCAAATAATGCTAGAAAGAATCTTGGAATTGAGGCTCAGAGACGTAATATGGTTTTTCCCAGGTCACGCAGTCAATTAATGCTGTACTAGGGCTCCTGCCCTGTTCTCCTGCACCCCCAGACTCAACCACAGCTCTTCCTTTATGGCACACTGCAGAATGACCACTAAATGTATAGTCTTTTTAATCTTCATACAAATACCTTTAGAATTAAATCTTCATCTGATGCCTTTTCATTCTTCTTCCCTGGATCTAAGCAGTCATGAAGTTAAGCCAGAAATTCCTCATGTTCCCTGCAATTCTGTGAGACTTGATCCTTATTCTCCTTGTTTTCCTTTAAACATTTTCTGTCGGGCAAATAACAAGTAAGTCAAGTTTTAACACCAAAGAAGATAACATTCATCAAAGTTCAGAACTCAAGCTCTCTGTCGGGAAATAACCAATAATCATTTCAACACAACACAGTTTCCCAGACACAGAGCACGATATCGTCTTGCAAGCCCAGTTAAAGAGGGAGAAAAGTGGAAACAACTCTGGGGCACGTACACTCTGCAGAAATGTAGGGAGATCTTTACGGCATCTTAGCAAGGGAGACAGATTATCTGCCTCCTGTTCCTGACATTTTAGGATCTGCAGAAGTGGAAGGTGGTTCTCTAGATCACACATGGATCCACTCAGCCGTGAGTCTCTGTTGCTGCTTCGTGGGAAAGAAAGAGAGTGATGCTATGTTGGGTCTAGAGACCATGCTTTGGTCACTACACAATGATCCATAAGAGTTACTTAGAGCTTTCCCTGGCTCATGGCCAAGCATAACTATAATTAAAAATACATCAGAAGCAGGGGATGTGCCCACCCCTGGAAAAGAGAGGTGTTCAATCATCAGCAAAGACCACTATTAGTTTTTGCACATCCAGGATTTTTAAAGAATATTGGAATGGGCCAATCAAGGAAAATCAGTCAATTTATGCTCTGCTGTGAATATTTTATTTCAAATCTCAGATAGGTTTGCTAAAATAGCATAGTCTATTTCTAATTCTTTAAATGTTAAAAACTAAGAGATCATAAAAAGCAGACATATTTTAAAGGCAAATTAGGATCATTTCAATAATTTGGCATCATTTTTTAGTACCCTAGATAATAAACATGATTATTGCTTTCCCTTTTTACCATGTTGAGTGTTTACTGCAATTCTTTCACGCTATTCAAAGATTAACAAGGCATGTAATTGCATATACTCAAAAGCATATCATATTTCTATTTAGAAAAAATGTATAATAAAAGACCAACATCAATATATCTCTAAGTTCTTATTTTCAGCATATGAAAGGTAATATTTATTCAGTCTCTCTCACTCATTTAAGTCATAGTTAATGCTATGGCTCTGATTTACTTATGTATTTGATTCTATATATTTACGCTAAGATTTCAGTCTTACTTCTCTGTTCCAGGAGTTTCTAAATTATTTCCACTTCTATTTGCATTTCACTTTAACCCAACAAAGTCCCAGGCATCTATCATAAAGACATAATCACATAAATGTGAAAATATGAATGCACATGGGTACTCACTGCATCTTAGTTTATAATCTTTTTTTTTTTTTTTTTTTGCGGTACGCAGGCCTCTCACTGTTGTGGCCTCTCCCGTTGCGGAGCACAGGCTCCGGACGCGCAGGCTCAGCGGCCATGGCTCACGGGCCCAGCCGCTTCGCGGCATGTGGGATCCTCCCGAACCGGGGCACGAACCCGCGTCCCCCGCATCGTCAGGCGGACTCTCAACCACTGCGCCGCCAGGGAAGCCCTATAATCATTTTTTTAATGGAACTAACCTAAGTGCCTAAAGTTAAGAGCAAAAAGAACCTGTTAAGTAAATTATGATATTAACAGGCAATGGAATATCACTGGCCATTAAAAATGATACAATGAAAGACTTTTTAAGTATTTACAACATATTATTCAGGAAAAATAGTTCACTACATGATACCGTTTATGTACAACTGTCTGAAGATCTATTCAACAAAAGGTTAACTATAGCATTTCTGGAATCATAAGGTTGTGAGTAATTTTAATTTTGGGGGGCACTTTATTATATCTTTAAAAACTTTCTTATAATGAATATATATCATTTTATTACTCATTTGTTTAATAAATATTTACTGGGCACTTACTATGCTACTTACTATGCTTAAAGGTGCTAAAGATACAGTAGTAAACAAAACAGATAAACATCCCTCTTGGGGCTTACATTCTAGTTTGGAAGATGGACAATAATCAAAACATAAATGTATGTAAAATGCATAGTATATTATAAAAGGGCTGGAGACAAAAACAATTAAGCAGGAAAGGGAGTCAGAAACATTTGGGAGGAGTGGGGTGAAATTTTAGATGTAGTCGCTAAGATCAGGTTAGCGGCAATGGGAAGTTGTCAAAATTTAGATTTATTTGGACGGCAGAGATAGATGATAGATTTACTTAAGGATCAAGGAAAGAGAAACAAGGATGATCCAAAATTTTGGCCCTGATCAACTAGAAGAATGGAATTACCATTAAACAAGATTAGGAAAAGCACAGGAGGATTTTGTGGAAACATCAGGAGGTATTCTGGACATGTTCCGTTTGAGATGCCTGTTAGACATCCGCATGGAGATGCCCAGTAAGTCGTAAGATATGTGGGTCTTAAAAAAAAAAAAAAAAAAAAAGATATGTGGGTCTTGAGTGCTGGGAAGAGGTCCAGGCTAGATCTAGAAACTACATGCTCGTGGGGGGTCACGAGCATGTACATCATACTTTAAGTCATGAGACTGGATGAGAGTGAATTTAGATAGAAAGGAGAAGAGAGTCAAGGACTGAGTGAGCCCTGGGGCACTCCAGTACTTGGAAATCAAGGAGATGAGGAGGACAAAGCAAGAGACTGTGACAGAGAGGCTAGAAAGGTAAGATCAAAAGCAGGGGGCTTCCCTGGTGGCGCAGTGGTTGAGAGTCCACCTGCCGATGCAGGGGACACGGGTTCATGCCCCGGTCCGGGAAGATCCCACATGCCGCGGAGCGGCTGGGCCCGTGAGCCATGGCCGCTGAGCCTGCGCATCCGGAGCCTGTGCTATGCAACGGGAGAGGCCACAACAGTGAGAGGCCCGCGTACTAAAAAAAAAAAAAAAAAAAAAAGCAGGCACACACAGTGTCCTGGAAGCTAAAACAAGAAAGTGGTTCAGGGAGAAAAGCCAACTGTTGGCTCAAACTGGAAAGTCAAGTAAAATAGGACTGATCATTGAATTTGCAATGCGCGGTCACTGGTCACCTTAATGAGCGGCTTCAGTGGAGTAGATCTGAGAAAGGAGAGAAATTGGTACAGTGAGTACATATAAACATGTTCCAGGAGTTTGGCAGTACATGGAAGGAGAGAAAGAGGATAGGAGCTGGAAGCATTGGGTTTTTGTTTTTATCTTTATAAGATGAAATAAGTAAAACAAATATCAAGTATTTTATTAGTAAAGTGATTTAAGTTATTATACACAGAATTTTTAAAGTGTATCTTAAGAACAGGTAGCTCCCAATTTTATCTCAATAATCACCTTTTGTCAGAACTAAGGGTAGAAAACCTAGATTTCCTGAGCTCTCTGCATAAACTGGCAATAAACCCTAATGAGGAGTGTTCAGGGTGGTCTGGGGTGTTCTGGGTTTCCGGGGTATTTTTATAACTAGCTTCTGAATAAACCCTTCCCCCTGTGCACTATTCCACCACCTCCACTTAAACCTCTACTTAGAGGAAATCTTCCAAATTGTATATATCTAAGAATTTGCAACCCTAATCAATAGGGCATAAACATGCTTAGGACAACGCCATGTTTGTTAAGATTCTTGGTGACATTTAGAAATGAGCTTGGAAAAAATTTTCAAGAGTCCAAAGATACGTGAGGTCAATGATTTTTTTTTTTTTTTCAAAAATGCAGGGGACACGGGTTCGAGCCCTAGTCCAGGAAGATTCCACATGCCGCAAAGCAACTAAGCCCATGCACCACAACTACTGAGCCTGAACTCTAGAGCCCATGAGCCACAACTACTGAGCCTGCCTGCCACAACTACTGAAGCCCGTGCTCCTAGAGCCCTGCTCGGCAACAAGAGAAGTCACGGAAATGAGAAGCCTGCGCACAGCAACAAAGAGTAGCCCCCCTCACCGGAACTAGAGAAAGCCTGCACGGAGCAGCAAAGACCCAACGCAGCCAAAAATAAATTAATAAATTTATTTTTTAAAGTTTAAAAAAAAAGAAATTAGTATTTTTAACCCTAGCTCCACTGAGAAGTATATTGAAATATCCTCACTGCAATTTCTCGTCCAGTTCTACAACTTTCTTCTTTAACTCCTGGTTCTCCTTGACTGCAGACTGAGCTGTGATTTTTAGTTCTAACTTTAGAAGTGGAGAGTGCCACTGATTCTTCTTCTAGCTCCTGAACTCTGTCTCTCAAAGAGGTGAGGAGAGACGATTCTCTGGCATTGTTTTCTCCGTAGTTCTCCATTTCAGCTTTCAACTCTTGACAGGAAACTTCTTTGGAAAGCATCTTGGATCGCAGTTTTCGAAGCTAACATGGAAAAGAAGTAAAAAGAGGGAAAAGATGTCAATGGTATAAGTTGGAAGTACCTTGAAAAAAACCCAAAGTCATAACTTAAAATTTCAATCTTTTATTCATGACTTCATCCGAATTTACTTTTTTTTTCTTCATATTTGTTTCCATATTACCAGCTGGGAAATTATGCCTAAATAGTGGACTTCATAGTCTGTCTTTTTCAAAAAACGATTGAGCAATGTCTTGTGGTAACTGAGTCTCACTCAAGAGACATGGGTGGAGTATTTTGCAAAAAGCAATAAAATATTTTGCAATGAGAATTCATTTTCTAAATCTGTATTACTGCTATTGCTGCTCACGATGAAACAAGGAAGCTGCAAGGTAGGCTGTTTGTAATTTCATGGCCATAGCTGTTTCCCGAGTCGATACAGACTATGCGATATATCACAGCATCTCTCCCCCTGGCCTTATGGACACTAACTGTGGCTGATAAAGAAAAATAATACTCGGATTTCTGGAAAAAATATAGGAGAAAAGGAAAAATCATTATAGGATTTACACAAAGGAAACGTTTTAACTTTTATGAATTCCGTGGCATCAAAATGCTGAACACAGTATGTGCCTTATTAAGCTACCAGACCCACTCCCATTAGGAAACTTTATGAATGCATCTGTTTTTTTGGAAATGTAAGTATGCATGCATACACACACACACACACACACACACACACACACACACACAATCGACTCATCTTTCAGTGGGATCCTAGCAGCCTAGTGAGACTGCTAGTTACCTCACAGGCAAGCTTAGGATTCCTTGGGGCCATCAGGCTATATATAAGCGCAGTGAGTCTAGAGAGAATCTCCCAGAAACTCCACAATAGACCTGATCCAGGCCAGAGGGTAAATGGATCCCAATCGTCTTCCTAGACTTTCCCCCAGACAATCAGAACCACAAGAAAGGGATTCAGATTTCCACCCCCAGAGCTTCAGATTGCAAGCAATCCACATTAAAGGCAGCTACTCCCAGGGATGCTTCCAGCCATCCAAAGCCCACACAGCCCAAACCCGAAGTCCCCAGGTGTCCCCAGGTGCTCTCGAGGATGTAGAGCTCCCCTGAGATGCAGAATCCTGCCCACGTCACCCTGCTTTGCATCACGGCAAATGCACAGCCTTTCAGGAGTTCTCCACAGCTAGAGGGTAGGGGCACCATAAGGGAATAAGCGTAAACTTTGCCAAAAAGTTTAAAACTGTTTCCCTTTGTCCTATTTCTAATCACCTCTATACTCTGCTTCACTCCATAAGAAGCTAACAAGGCCATTTGTGAGTTATGAAGACGCAGACTCTCACCTCAGACTGAGCAGATTCAAATTTGACCAGAGTTGCTGCAAGTTCACTCCGGGCAGCCTCGGCCACATTCCGATAGTGGTTTAACTGCTCCCGAGTAACTGCGACTTCCAAGAGATGATTATAAGTTTCCTGATAGGGTTCCCCAAAAGACAAAATATACAAAGGAGAGTTAAACAATCTTTTCCATGCAGCTGTGCAAAGCAAGATTAAGTACAGAAGCATTCTTTGTAGTCCAAATATGTTGGAAAGGCTGCCCAGAGATGTGTTTGGTTCAGATTATTTCATTCTCCTTCTCAAAATTTTAAGGGAAGCAGGAGGCAGCCCAGGAACGAATGATAGGCTCCCCCAGGACGGTAGTGGAGTTTGACTTTTAAGAGTTAGTATGTCCCCTTGGGGGACTTCCCTGGTGGTCCAGTGGGTAAGACTCCACACTCCCAATGTAGGGGGCCGGGGTTCGATCCCTGGTCAGGGAACTAGATCCTGCATGCTGCAACAAAGATCCCGCATGCCACAAAAGAGACCTGGCACAGCCAAAAATAAATACATAAATAAAATAAAATATTTAAAAAAAAAAAAAATTTGGCCTTTGACACTTTACAGAGTTTCCTTCCGCCCAACTCCAATGTTATTTGACCTCTGACCAGAACAGATAGCATCAACAAAGAACCACCAGAAGAGATGGCTAACAGGAGGCAGTTTTTATTGTTCTTCTATTTCCAGACTACAAAGATTATCAACTCATCTCTGGTCTGTTGAATAAGTGTTTCATGTGTTTATCAAAGAGACCCTGTGATTCAAGTATAGAAGTCTGTCTCCTTCATAATTATCCACTATGCCATTTATTCTCAATCTCATAGCCTATCTTGGGTTTTTGTTTTTGTTTATTTATTTGTTTATTTTTGGCTGCGTTGGGTCTTCGTTACTGCACGCCGGCTTTCTCTAGTTGCGGTGAGCGGGAGCTACTCTTGGTTGCGGTGAGTGGGCTTCTCATTGCGGTGTCTTCTCCTATTGCAGAGCACAGGCTTCAGTAGTTGTGGCTCAAGGGCTCTAGAGCGCAGGCTCAGTAGTTGCGGCGCACGGGCTTAGTTGCTCCACGGCATGTGGGATGTTCCCGGACCACGGCTCGAACCCGTGTCCCCTGCATTGGCAGGCAGACTCTTAACCACTGCGCCACCAGGAAAGCCCTATCTTGGGGTTTTGAAGGTTACTCAGATGAATGCCTGAGGCCAGAGATAGTGGTCATGCCTGGAGTCCTTCTCCATCCAGAAGGGAACAACTCTCAGCTCCACTGATGGCTGCCAATGCAGAAATATGGACCCCAGCATGGCCTCATTACTCTAATTTTTCAAGACAAGTCCTATATTTGGGCTTTTGAAGTAAAAATTCCCAGTTTTTCCCTCTGGGTAATTAATTTAAATTTTAAAAAAAACACCATATGATCCCAATAAACACATCTGCAGAGCAGATTTGATGGGTTTGGGCTGTGGGTCAGTATGTAACCTCTGGTTCTGTTTCTGTCCTATTCATGCCATAACACCTGCTTTCTGAAAGAATTATTCCAGAGTTTGGACAGATACCCACCTCTATGAAGTTTCCAGGGCCTGGGGTTTTTGTGAAAGACATACAAGAAAGCCATTCATTTTTGAAGGAATATGAAAGAGGTCACATAAAGAAGGGTTTCCCTGGAATATCTAGTGTCCTCGGGGGACACACCAGTAAAACCTGTTTATGATTCTGCCCGGCTACTGAACTGCCAAAGACTACTGTTTGGAAATACTCATGAATGCAAAGTCATCTTAAAGCCCTGAACTTCACAACAAGCGTTGTCATGACTAGTGTGTTTCAATCCACAAAATGCTAAACAAAACCTTCAGCGCACTTAGTAACAGCCAGTGTTTGTCAATTACAACATATGCAAGAAGATGGAAGGCATGTACTCCTGGGGAGAAAGCATAAAACAATTAACTGCATCTGTTAAGAGAACCACATCCTGTTCAGCCTCACCCAGCATTCAGAAGGAACTTTTCTACCCTAAACACTCCAGCAATATTTTCCAGAATAAGCCATGTGAGGACCTAGGTCACCTACAAGAGGTCTGAGCTACAGCACGTATGGACCATTTTCTAAAATTCCTTAGGGAAATAAGTTTCTTAATGGCTATGATTATTTCTTTCATTGACTAACATGATTTTTTAGGACATGACAGAGTCATACTATAATTTTATATCTCTTTCTTATGAAAAAATATTGTGTCCGTTGGTTATAATATTAAGAGCCCCTGAGACAGTTCAGAAGTGGGCCTTTATCTGAGGAGGTTACAGTGTAATGCAGGACACCACCAAAAGCATTAGCATCTTCACATGCTCATGGGCGAAAGAAACCACATATTAAGATATTATTACCTTTGACACTGGAGCAGGGCCTACGTGAGGAGGACTCTTGATTACCGAGTTTAGAAGACAGGTGCTAGGATCTAATTCACCTTTTCAAAGTCCAGCAGACTCGAGATTATTCATCAGCAAGTGTTTACGAAAAGCCTATTCTGGGTCAGGCACTGAGCTTACAGTCTAATAAGAAAAAGAGCATTTATCAAACAACCACGCTGGTGATTGTGTAATTACAAACTGAAATAAATTCAAGCAAAGAAAGAAACAGACAACAAAGGAAAGTGACTTAAAATTAGGGAGGTGGAAGGAAAGATTTCCCTAAAGAAGTGACGATTAAATAGAAATTAAATAGGCAAGAGGTACTGAAACAGGAGCAACCCACATCTTTCAAATAGCCAAAAGTCCGAGCAAAGGTCCTGTGGCAGGAGTATGCCCTGTGTGATCGAGGATCAGAGAGAAGGCAGTGAGGCCTTCTGAGGGGTCAGAGCAGGTGAAGAATACTGGCAGCAGGGCTCAAAAGACAGCCCTGAGCCCATTGATATATTTTAGTACCTGACAGGGCTTCTTTTTAAAAATATTCCTCCTTGGCTATTCTTACGTGTTCATTTTACCATATGAAATTTAGAATCAGCTCATTAAATTCCAAAAATTCCTGTTGGTATTTTTATTGGGAGCATGTTAACTTTATAAATAAACTTAAAGAGAATTAACATCTCTTAAATGTTGAGCTTTCCAAATAAAATCATCTTTTTTCCATTTGTTCAGGAATTCTCATATGTCACATATGTAGCTGTGATGGTTAATTTTATGTGACAACTTGACTGGGCCACAGGGTGTCCAGATATTTGGTTTAAACATTATTCTGGTTGTGTCTGTGAGGATTTTCTGGATGAGATTAACATCTGAATCAGTAGACTGAATAAAGCAGATTGCCCTCCCCAATGTGGGTGGGCCTCATCCAATCCACTGAAGGCCTGTATAGAACAAAAAGCCTGAGTAAGGGAGAATCTGTTCCTTCTGCATGTTTTTGAGCTGGGACATCAATCTTCCCCTGCCTTTGGATTCAGACTCAGACTGGAATTTACACCTTCAGCTCTCCTGGGCCTCCAGCTGGTCTACTGCAGATCTTGGGAATTCTCAGACTCCATTATTACTCAAGCCAATTCCTTGTCATATATATATATATATATATATATATATATATACACACACACACACACACACGCACACACATATACATACATATACATCCTACTGGTTCTGCTTCTCCAAAGAACCCTGACTGAGCCCCAGAGACACCTCTGTGTTGAGCTGGGCTCTGGAATATACCACACTGACATAAATCATACCAATGTTTTCTTTTTTTTTTTTTCTGTTGCTATACCAATGTTTTCTTAAGCAAAAATAAACAAATGGGACCTAAACTTATAAGCTTTTACACAGGAAAGGAAACCACAAACAAAATGAAAGACAACCTATGGACTGGGAGAAAATATTTGCAATGTGACCGACAAGGGCTTAATTTCCAAAATATACAAACAGCTCCTACAACTCAATGACAAAAAAATAAACAACCCAATCAAAAAATGGGCAGAAGACCTAAACAGACATTTCTCCCAAGAAGACATACAGATGGCCAATAGGCACATGGAAAGATGCTCCACACTGCTAACTATTAGAGAAATGCAAATCAAAACGACAATGAGGTACCACTTCACATCGGTCAGAATGGTCATCATCAAAAAGCCTACAAATAACAAAAGGTTGGAGAGGGTGTGGAGAAAAGAGAACCCTCCTACCTGTTGATGGGAATGTAAATTGGTACAGTCACTATGGAAAATACTCAGTAGTATCAAGGTTCCTTCAAGAAAAAAAAAAAAACTAAAAACAGAGTTGCCATATGGAGTATACCACAGAAATCCATTCCTTCAAGACACTCTGAGGTAGCTTGAAATGAGAAGAAATGCACAGCAGTAGCATGAGAGGATTACAAGGATAAGAAAAACAATATGAAAACTGAAAGAAGACTGAATTTATTTATTTATGCCTACGCTTTTCCTCTTAGCCCTTCCTTGGCCGTCCCATAGATCCTTATGTAGTCTTCTTCATATTTGGCTTGGATTTCCTCTTTGACCTGAGTTGTTTTAAGGGCTTAGTTGTTTTTGCGGCTCTCCGTCCTCAGAATTTGTTACGATGTCTGTTTTATTGCACTGTGCTCAGACAACCCAACTGTATTCCAGGCTGACATTCATGGGTGTACACCAGTGGGGTGGACCAATGTCCATTCAGAACTGGGTCCATTCAGACTGGAAGGTTGTCCTTCTTATAGCAGCCATTACACATTTTCACCATCATCCTTGTCTATATTATTTCTACTTCAGGGAATTTCTCAAGGTTTTTGTGAATACTCAATTTTATGAACATCCAATGGGTATTTAAAAGGAAGGTATATTCTCTATCTTCTGAGCTTGAAATTCAATATGTATCAATTAGTTCTACTTTATTCATCATTTTAATTACGCATTTCTAGTCTCGTCTAATTTCTACCCTAATTTCTACTCTATCCTGGCTCGAGAGAGGTGAGCTAGAGCCTCCTATTACTACTATAATTCTCTATCACCTTGTAGCACTTGTATTCTTGCTGAATGAACACTGGTACTGCTTGACTTGGTGCAAAGATTCAGAAATTTCATATATTCGTTGTGAATTGTACCACGTAGCACGATAATGTGCCATTATTTG